AATGTCAATATTATTAGCTCTCTTGGGACATGGGGCTAATAAGCCCTCTCGTACAGAACAAACCACTGTTAACCAATAACTTGCCTACTTATCCCAACTTGCCAACATAATAACCTAATTCAGTATACCAGTATTTTATAGTTATAAATAACTATGAAAATATTATGTGCTATTATTAGAAATTAGTTATTAAAACTGTTATGTTCAGAAATGTACTACGGTAAGTATCATTAAGGAAATATTTTTAAAGAATTGCAATTTCACAGGGCTTCAGTAAAAAATTTGACTTCAACTATATACAGTGTTCAATTTTATTCATATTTAAATTTCAAAATATATAAAGAAATATGTTCAAAAAATAAAATTAAATAAAATAAATAGTGTCACAATTGCTCAAAGGTCAGCACTTTCATCTCACAGCAAAAAGGTTGCTGTATTGAGTCCAGGCTGGGCCAGTTGTGAGCTCCAGTTTCCCCCACAGTCCAAAGACATGTGGTACAGGTGAACTGAATAAACTAAACTGTTTGTAGTGTATGTGTGTGTGTGTGTGTGTGTGTGTGTGTGTGTGTGTGTGCGTATGGGTGTTTCCCAATACTGGGTTCCGGCAGGAAGTGCATCTGCTATGTAAAACAAAGGGTGGAATATTTGGTTCATTCTGCTGTGGCATACTCTGAAATAGAGACTAAGGGTGCACTCAGACTTCACTATGCGAACCATGCCCAGGCATGTTTTCCAGTTCATTTGACAAGTGTGAGCGCAGTGAATCAGGCTCAGGCCTGTTCAGTTGGCTGTCCCTGGCCCGGTTTAGTTATGCTTTGAAGCGGTACGCTTGTAGTGTGAGTGCTAATTCGCGACTGAACTCGAAACTGAAGAAGGGACGTCACTATTTAAGGATTGTTACATATGGATTTAATAAACATTCTTAATTTTCAATGAACATAAACTGTCGTAGTTTATTAACGATACACAAAAAGTAAGGCAAAATATTTGACTGGGAGTCAAATGACTAAAATAATATGAGTAAAGCAAAGTCCAATGTACGAAGCAAGAGCGATTCTTTTCCAGTTAAACTGAACAGTCGCATCATCGATGACGTAAGTGTGCTCAGATCCAGAATGCAAACAGCAGTGTGATTGCAGGCCATTGGTGAGAGAGGAGTGGGGGACAATCGTGCTTTGGCACTGTTCAAGGCAACTGTACCTAGTGTGGACATACCCTAAAGCCTGGTTTATACATCTGCGTCAAATGATCGGCGTAACCCATGGCGCATGCAACGTGCGTAGCTGAGCATTCATACTTCAGCACGCTGTTTCTGATGCTCTGCAATAACACTTCCAAATCACTAGTTGGCAGTAAAGTGTTTATGTTCCTCTGTGTCGAGTTTCTTTGCTGGTGTTTTGTTTTTCTGAATGCTTTCTTAATGTAAAAAGGATTTAAATTCGCTCATTTTGAGGTAGGAACCCGCGGAAGTGCAACAACTTTGACCATAATGTAAACACAAAACAAAACTTTTTATCTGGAGCTCTTTCACGGAACTCAACACTGTTCCAAGCCGACCAATCACAGAGCTTGCACTACGCATCATTGCGCATCGAGTTTTTTGAGAGGTGCGCATCATCTAGCTAGTAGGCTGCGCTGTAGCGTACACGTGCACTTAACATAGAAGTATAAATCATCCTTAAGCCGAAAGAAAATGAACTAAAATTAAATAAAATAACTCTTTAAGTAAAATGAAAAAAAAAAAAGTTTTGAATTTGGTTCTATACTGTCTCATTTGCATATTTAAATAAGTGCATTTTAGAAAAAATGTGTTTTGAGATTCTTAATGTAACAAATTTTTGGAAGTATACAGATTACCAATTTGTACAATAATCACCTGCAGTGTCTTGCCTTAAAGGTCCACCAGTTTTTTTTTATTAATAAAATTTTTTTTTTATCAATTCCTGTTCGAATAAAAGTAAAGATTTTACTTCACCCCTGCTGCACTACAGTGTATTAAAAAACTGCCAATAAAAGCCTAATGCTAAAACAAATAGCACCAATTGAAAACCATGTTATTTATCTAAACAGCAGCACTTCTAATGTAAAGGACAGCAACTAGAAAAATGCCATTCAAGCAAACTGAAACAAATAGAGCAATATCATCAGAGAGACGGGGACAATGAGAAGAGCATTAGCCGGAGCGGTGGGCAGAAGAGGAGCTGGCACTGCAGATGGACACATTCTTGGCACCTATCGCACATCGGGACTGAACAGTGACACTGGGGCCATGTTGCTCTAATGGAATGTGCCACCCAAGACCTCCAGTGAATGTGAACATCACATGCTACTGAACACCTGGACGCAAGCCAACAGTGAGTCCCATATACACGGTCCCTACGGTCTCACACACGCACGTCGCCAGCGTGCCTCGCCTCACACACAGCACTGATATAGTCCTGATGAGACATCACGTGAAGCCATTACACATGAAAAACACACACATACTGTACATTCACTCACTGACAAGTGTTAACATCACTCCCTCAAAAGAGGAAAAATGTTTATTTAAACTGTTTATTTAAAAGGAGCTGAAACAACACAACTCTTGAGGGACAACTTAATTGTTTTATGCGCAATCCACTTACATTTGTAAAAACTACTAAGTTAACTTAATTCCTTCATGTTTCCCCAACACACATCAAGCGAAACCCAGTATTTTGTACAGTGCTGATGATTTTGACCATAATTGATACATTTAATAAACATGGTTCAGTTATATTCAGAAGAAAAAAAGTATCTGAACATATTGATTATGAGTTAAGTCTGTACGAAATCAAATATTTAAATGCATAATTAGATGGCGCATATTGCTGTCCTTTAGGTGAACAAAGAACAAATTAATTAAATTCAATTCAATTCAGCTTTATTTGTATAGCGCTTTTACAATATATATTGTGTCAAAGCAGCTTCACATAAATGGTCATAGTAACTGGATCAGGGTAGTTCAGTTTTTAGTGTTTAAGTTCAGTTTAGTTTAGCTCAGTTCAGTGTGGTTTAAAGTCATTACTGAGAGTCCAAGCACTGAAGAGCAAATTTATCGATGTGTAGCTCTACAGATCCTGAACCATGCAAGCCAGTGGCGACAGCAGAGAGGGAAGAAAAACTTCACCAATAGGAGAGTGAAGAAAAAAAACCTTGAGAGAAACCATAAATTAATCCACTAGAAAATAAATTATTTTTTTTTTTTTGGTAATGTTTAATCAAAGTCTGACAATTTGTTTCTGTGTTTGGAGTACTGGTCATTCTCTATTGACGTCAGTTTGATGGTTTCCGCCAAAAATATTTTTAAACAGGCCCCTCTTACAGTTAGTTTGCTAAAAAAAAAAAATGATGTGCAAAACGGAAGCCCCGCCACCTGCTCAATATTCCATCTCAGTGGAAGTACATCAACTTCTGGTTCACAGAGACTATAGGGTGATTTTTAAATTCATTCAAACAGATAAACTCGTTTATCACATCAACTAAAGAAATGCAACACAAAGGCGTATAATCAAATGTTAATACTTTCTGTGCTTACTTTGAGCAACTATCATTTGTAAAATATAACTTAGTTGGTTGAGTTGGCTGAGTTGTTTTGTGAACTTAATCATTCAAAACACGAACCTGAATCATGTTCAGTTAAAACTCTTTATTTATTTAGATATAGTTATATTTATTATACATTTGGTAAAACCACACTATTAACAAACTGTCAACTATGACTTTTAACTCAATAAACTACTTATTTGTTGTGTGAACAAAATAATTTGAATTAATGACCTGATTTATGTTCAGGTAAAACTATTTATTTATTAGATACAGCCAGGCCTGGACTGGTTAATCGGGAGGACTGGGAGCATTCCAGGTGGGCCGGTCTGTTTTTTGGCCGCGAGGGCCGGTCTCCCTAGCTGCTTGCACTCTCAGCAGTCGCACTTTTTTCATTTATGTGTTTATTTGACCATAGCATCACTCTTTTTATTTATTATTTTGCTGCAGCTCCGCTCTTTTTATTTATTTTCTTGCAGCCCCATGAGAAAATGCAGCCTGTAGGTTAATGATGATGTAACTATCATTTGACCAGCAGCACCTTAGTCAATATAAGAAATCGAATAATAATTATTAATGAATATTACACCTGCTCAATGGGTAGGTCTAAGGCTTAAAACTCCAGGGCTGAATAGGAGTCCCACTCCGACCTTGGATACAGCTATATTTATTACAAATTTGCTACAATTAGCACTTTTCACAACTATTAATTATGACCTTTAGCTCAGTAAACTCCTAATTTTATGCTTATTAATAGTTTTTATTTGAATATCATTTAGATATTGGATAGGATTAGGGATGTAGAATAAGATCAGGAAGAACATGTACTCTATAAGTACAAATAAACAGCCAATATCTTAATAAGAGTCAGTTCATAAGCTACTGAATCTTGTTTTTGTTTTGTGCTCATCTCATTTATACTGAAGAGTAATCTGTTGTCACATTATACCACAAATCCAACATTCCGTGCACGAACACAAACTGAAAGTTTTTTGCAGACGTCTTTTCAAAGTCCTAAGATAGCCCAAGCATATAAATGGCCACCAGTGGTGAACTTTCACGCTCATATGGTCACCTGTCCTCCAAAATAAAATGTCATTGCAGAGGCGACAGCTTCAAAGAGCCAGACCAGACTTTTTTTTTAGCATGATGCAAGGCAGGCCAAGAGCCCTTGTGTCCTGCAGTCCAACTACAGTAACATCCTTGGACATTTCCAGCTACTTTTACATCCTTGAGTTTTTCTTTTAATGCTACGTTTTAGTGTGTGTAATTCAATTTACTGCCCCATTTCTCTGTATTTTGATTTCCCAGTTCTGATCCTCCAGTGGTGGGGAAAAAAAGTGTTTTTCAAACCAGCACATGTGCTCCAGCCATGGTCACATGCAAATTTGCACAAACGCTAATAATTGAAGAGTCAAGGCTATCAATCTTACCCTCGTGTGTTGCATCCCCGGGTTGTTTATAAGGGTTGAACTTGGGTTTGGGAGCCACAACAGGAGCAAACTTTTTCGGAGCCTGCTGCTGGGATATAGAAATGCTGGTTGTACCCATGGGTAAGCTGGTCTCCATTCGAGCACTCACATGACCTTGCTGGTCACCATCATTATGTCCACCCCACATGTTTCTGGAGTTGAGAAATCTGAAAAAACAAAACAATAACAAAGCCAGTTTATTATACTGCACTGAGACGCACAGGTCCCATTGCATCCGGAATATCCACAATGAGATAGGAATTGCAGTGGTGTCTGAATTCCAGCGTTACATTCCTTCCATAAAAATACAGTTGTTTTTATGCATGACAGAGATGAGGAGTGGATTGTGGGTTCTTTTCATCAGGGACCAAATCCCCTTGTGCATTGGAGTCTTCTCCCACTCTTTGTTCTTAGCATTGGACTTTGCAAAGGGAAACTGTGCATTTCAAACTCCCAAGAGTCTGTCAGATCTGATTATTACATCAGAAAATCTGGGTATGTAAAGTTCTCTCAAAGAAAAAAGCAAGTTCTGTCACAACAAATAAATGCTGATCAACTGAATGAATACAATATACTGCAATTTAGAAGTGAGAACTAAATTATTTTGTTTTTAATAAATTATTCAGTTTTATCAAATAAATCATATGGTTTAGGATTTTTTTTTTCTTGCATGTGAGTTTGTGAATCACCCTCACAAACTTGCCCAGAAGTCTTAATATTTAAGTTTCAGACCAATATGAGGCCATTCGATTATCGCAAAAATCACAATTATGTTGTAATCATGATTATTTAACATGATTATGAGTGTCAAATGAAGACAAAAGGACTTAAATATGAAAGAGAAAATAAAAAATAAATGACCATGATTATGTTTTGTTGTGCTGGCTTAGCAAAATCCATGTAAAGTTACAAACATAACTGCTTTTTAGAACTACTGAAAGATTTAAATAAATTCAATCAAGTTTTTTTTTTTTTTTTATTTGTTTTGTTTTGCGCCATAAACACATCTGCCAACATTTTAATTCTTTCATTCATTTTCCTTCAGCTTAGTCTCTATTTCAGAAATCGCCACAGTGGAATGAACCCCCAGCTATTCCAGCATACATTTTACGTAGCAGATGCCCTTCCAGCTACAACCTAGTACTGGGAAACACCAGTACACTGCAAAAATAATTTTCTTACTTAGATTTTTTGTCTCGTTTCTAGTCAAAATCTCTAAAAATTCTTTAAGAATTTTCTAGGCAAGCAAAACATATTTTATTGTTTTCAGAAATAATGTGGCAATATTCAGTCAGTTTTTCCTTAAAACAAGACAATATGTTTTGCATGTCTAGGAAATTTTCTTTATTTAAGAATTTCTAGATATTTGGACTAGAAACAAGACAAAAAAAATCAACAGTAAGTAAGAAAAGCTTTTTTGCAGTGTACACACACACACACACACACACACACACACACACACACACACACACACACACACACACACACACTCATACACTGCGGCCAATTAAGTTTATTCATATCACCTATAATGCATGTCTTTAGACTGTGGAGGAAACTGGAACACCCAGAGGAAACCCATGCAAACAGGGGGAACATGCAAACTCCACACAGAAATGCCAACTGACCCAGCTAGGACTCGAACCAGCGACCTTCTAGCTTTGAGGCGACAGTGCTAATCACTGAGCCACCATGCCACCCACTTAATACATTTTATTTAAGACAATCTCATTTCAGAACTGTTCTCCAATGAAGCAAGTATTGAGTAAAGTAAAGTAAAATCGCTGTTTAAGGATTTCTAAAACAGCTGTGTAATAAAGTTCAGTAATACTGGACAATAAAAAACAACAACAAAAACTATAAGTATTGTTGATTTAATTTATTTAGTTGTACTGGCTATTTTTGTACAGAATATAAATGGTTTATTTACCACAGCAGAATTCTACATATAACACATATTAGTGACAAACAAATCCTCGTGTCCTCAAACAAAGATGGAAAATTAAAAATTGGAAAATTGTTAAACTGTGATTTAAAAAAAGCAAAGAACTATTGCAATAGAATAAATAAAATAAAAACTCAGCTTTATAATCAAATGTAAAATAAAGCAGTACTCTTCACTGTAAGAATTGCTTTACTTTCTCAAAAATTGTTTCAGTTCAATATCTGTGTTTTAATTAGAGGCCGAAACTGAAACTTTAACTGCATAGCCCTAGTTCAATGTAAATTGTACTCAGTTCCTTACTCAATTCTGATCTGTTAATGGTTGTGTTCACACTTGTTTATTCTTCAAATATGTTTGCTTAAGACAAAAAAAATCCAAGCTAGAACTGAGAATGCCCTGAGTGTGTTTTGTAAGCACACCATTCAGATCTATTTCGCTAACTGGATTTAATAAATGGCCCTGCTCTGAAAATGATGTATTATTTCATTACCATAAATATACCAAAACTAGTTATTAGTTTCATTTCAACTTAAATTTTGAATAAGTTCTCTTACATAAAACTTTGAATGTTTTTTTTTTTTTCATCTGGACCAAAAAAATTAATAAAATAAGACAAAACTGGTCCTGTTTCGCTTAGTATTTCAATTGTAATGTATATTTTAAAGTGTTAAAGGCTTAGTTCACCCAGGAATGTAAATTCTGTCATCATCTACTCACCCTTGACTTGTTCCAAATTGGTTTGAGGTTGTTTTTTATTTTGTCCTGTTGAAAAAAAAATCCACAAAAATATATATTTTGAAGAATGTTAGAAACCTGTGAGTTTCAGGTTTCCAACATTCTTCAAAATATCTTTTTTTGTGTTCAACCGCACATAAAAATATTCAAATTGTTTTGGAAATAGTCAAGAGCAAATGATGACAGAAATGTAATTTTTTGGGCCAGCTATTCCTTTAATAAATTACAAAATATGTTTGTTTGTTAGTTTGTTATTTTAGTTTGTGTGTTTGTTTCCCTTTTTAAGGTGAATATTTTCAGATATCCCCAGAAGGATTGGCAGGAATCAAAACCAAAGATGGTGCTAATCATTCCTCGAGTTCTCTAGAACGTGCCAAGGTGACAAATAAGAGGCTGTAATTTGATATAATCCCATAATTTTCACAAGACACTTGCCTTTCCATAGTTAGAAGCAAAAAAAAAAAAAACACCAGTTGCTACCCTTATATCAGTTAAATAAAAACATAATACATCACCAAAGCTATGTGTGATGTAGAACGGGGAGTTGTGTCAGATCTATCAAAGCTGCCAAGGAGCATGACAGCGGTTCAGCTTTCACTGACGTGGTGAAAGCTGTCGTACCAGCAACATTAACAACCTGACAATATTGATGACTTCTAATGCATTTATTGACAGCTCCAGGAGCACACGCGCTAACTGCGGCACCACAGACTGAGTCAAATTATTAAAATAACTTACTTTTTTTTATGAGTGTGTTTAACTTGTCTCTGAGACAGACATATTTACATAGTCAGTGTTGTTTACCAGTTTGGGCATTTAGCTGCAGGGTCGCTGCTGTCTATTTTGACTCTTAAAAATTCCATGAACTTTTTCAACTTCTTTCCAACTTGGGTTTATTTGAGTTATTTCCAAATGCGAGAGATTGTGCTAAAGCACACCGATCGAAAGATCCACAGTAAAAGTGACTATATGGTTTTAACCCATATACGGCCTGTTTTTGGCTGCATTCAAGTGGCGATAATAAATTGTGCAATAAATAAAATAGTTTGCTATATTTGTTGAAAATGTAACAGCATTTGACACCGGTGTTGAGGTGCAAATGACCAAACCTCTGCCATGCGGTGATCAAAATAGCGTTGGACATTACACAGTTCGACATTAGCCAAACTATCTGCAGAGTATAGTGTAATGAGATAACTAGCGGGTTGAGGTTAACTGAAATGATTCTTATGTACACGGTAAATCAAATGGCTGGCTGAATTGAAATCCTCATGATGCTCAAGTTTTCCTTCTGTAAACACTTGCGGTACATTAAATAAAATCATAATAAATATATACAAACACCGGCCACTTTATTTGGTACATCTGTCCAACTGTTCGTCAACGCAACTTTCTAATCAGCTAATCACATGGCAGCCAAAAGATTTTGGTCAAGACAATCTACTGCAGTTCAAACTGAGCATGATTTAAGTGACTTTGAACGTGGCATGGGTGTTGGTGCCAGACAGGCTGGTCTGGGTATTTCAGAAACTGCTGATCTACTAGGATTTTCACGCACAACCATCTCTAGGATGTACAGAGAATGGTCGAGTGAGTGGCAGTTCTTTGGGTGCAAATGCCTTGTTGATGCCAGAGATCAGAGGAGAATGGCCAGACTGATTAGATATGATGGGAAGGAAATAACCACACGTTACAACTGAGGTATGCAGAAAAGCATCTCTGACTGCATAACCTAGAGGCAGATGGGCTACAGCAGCAGAAACCCACACCAAGTGCCACTCCTGTCAGCTAAGAACAGAAAGCTGAGGCTACAATTTGCAGAGGCTTACCAAAATTGGATAATAGAAGATTGGAAAACCGTTGCCTGAGTCTCAATTTCTGATGCAATGTTTGGATTGTACGGTCAGAATTTGGCATCAACAACATGAAAGCATGAATCTATTCCACCTTGTATCAATGATTCAGGCTGGTGGTGGTGTAATGGTGTGGGGGATATTTTCTTGGCCCACTTTGGGCCTATTAGTACCAATTGAGCATTGTGTCAATGCCACAGCCAACCTGAGTATTGTTGCTGACCATGTCCATCCCTTTATGACCACAGTGATAAGTGTCATGTCATAAAGTATGACACCAAGAACTGTTGTTCCTTTTCACTCTAACGATATTTACAGATACATATTATTGATAAATACATCAAATAAACACCACAAAAAACCTAACCATGTCTATTATTTGTAATCAAATACTCCTGCCTCATGTTTGCTGTAACTTTCATTATTGCAGACATTAGCATATCCTTGTAGTGTTTTATAAGCTATTCTATGAATAAATGGACACTCTTGAATGAATTATAGTTGTGTGCACAATCATTATGAGTGGATAAGCAAGTGATATGTGTTTTGAATGATTCTGTGCAGTATTCACAGTTTTCTATGTGAAGTTAACAGCTTAACTTATGTGCAAAATTAAACAAGTTTAACTTTTTCT